CCCTAACGTTCTGTGATTCTGTGATATAGCTAAAACAGGAGGGATGCATCTAAGTGCCTTTGCTGTGCTTTTTAAAACAGCTTTCTATAGCATACTGCCTCATCCAAGGAAGTACTGAGTAGATATATTCTGTACTCTTTGAAAGTAACAAGACTTCGAGGAAAACCTGTTGTTTGGCGTTTTTTTACCATTATACATTTAATACATGGAAAGAATGTAAAGGTAAAAATCCTCCAGAGAAGAGAGGATTTTTATATCAGGATTTGTATTATGTCAGGAACACAAGCACCCTTTTTACCACTCCTATGACATGATTCTTCTAATGACTTGTAGTAGCTGGGAGTTGTCAGAACAACAGATTTCCTCCCTGTTGTGCTATCATACTAGATTTTGCATTACTTGGTAGTCCTAGGAAGCAGTGGAAAGTTGGTTTCTGCTTTTAGCCGTATCATCTACCTGCCAAACAAAAATGTACTCATATGATGATACCTATTATGTTATTTGACAACAGATTCAACGTGAACCTAAACATTGACTTTAGGCATGCCTTTTCCCATTCATTCTCTTTCACAGTGATAGTCTGCATCTCCTGTGTATTTACATAATAAGAGGAAAGGTTGATGCAACTGTGAAGTAAAGTCAAATGTAATTTTAAAAAAACTGTATTTAGAGTGCTTCGAGATTTTTCCTTTCATGGTGGTTATTCCTTATTTTGAGCTGTAGGTTAGAGAAATTTAATGAACACTTGAGGTAGCTATGCTTATGATAGTTAAGCTTAATTTTTGTATAAAATGTTCTTTCTCAGATTTAGAATCATAGCATGTATTGGGTTGGAAGGGACCAAAGCTCATCCAGTCCAGCCCCCCTGCACTAAGCAGGGACAATGTTACCAGATCAGGTTGCTCAGAGCCCCATCAAGCCTGACCTTGAATATCTCCAGGGATGGGGCCTCTACCACCTCTCTAGGCAACCTGTTCCAGTGATCTACCACACTCACATTGAAGAGCTTTTCCCTAATATCCAACCTAAATCTACCCTTTTCTAGTTTAAAATCATTACCCCTCATCCTGCCGCTACATGCCCTAGTGCACAGCTCTTCCCCAGGTTTCCTATAGGCATCTTTCAGGTATTTGTTTTCTTTAAATGAGTTACCATGTGCTTTGTCCATTACTTGACTTTTAATTTCTTCTAGAATGTAGTTGTTGCTTATCTATCCTGAATGTTTGTCTAATACAATGCGGTGGTTTTGTTGTTTTTTTGTTGTTTTATTTTTTTTTTTTAAAAAAAACCAACCCTCAAGTCTTATGCAATTAGATCTTATCCTAAATATTTTCTTTCTTGACCACTTGCGTTTTGTTTTGTTTTTTTTTCACTTAGGAATTTTATGTGCTTGGTGGAGATGGAAAAAGATGAAAAACAAGCTGGCTTCCTGAAGAAAGCAAGCGGCAAATACTTAATGGAACTTTATTACTGTGGAACCATGTTTTGAGTGCTCCTCCTAGACATCTTTTATAAATATTCTAGAGATCGGCAGATTTATATCATTGGAGACCTGGCTCATTCACTGGAAGAAGCCTGCTTGGACTATGACATTTTGTATTGTTTCTGAAAGTCTGTGAGAAAACACTATAGACGGCTTCCTATTCTTTCTTAACTCTGCATCTCAATTCAGCTACAGCAAAACTAGTCCTTGAAGTGAATAGAACCAGAGCCCTTTTGGAAACTTTTATTGAACATGACTCATGGAGAAGAGCTTGGCTCTGAGATGCACCAGGATTCTGTTGTTCTAACTTACCTAGAGGGATTACTAATGCATCAAGCAGCAGGAGGCTCAGGTACCGCAGTTGACAAGAAGTCTACTGGGCATAGCGGAGAGGATCAAAACTTCAAGATTTCTGGAAATCTGTTTCCCAGCTGTCAAAGTAATGGTCCAGTTCTTAACACAAATACGTATCGGGGATCTGGCATGCTGCACCTCAAAAAAGCAAGACTGTTGCAGTCTTCAGAAGACTGGAATGCAGCAAAGAGAAGGCGGTTGTCTGATTCCATTGTGGATTTAGATGGGAAAAAGGAAGCTTTGTTAGCTGGCATGGTTGAAAATGTGCCCAAAGGCAAACAGGATAGCACATTACTTGCCTCTTTGCTTCAGTCGTTCAGCTCTAGGCTGCAGAGTGTTGCTCTGTCACAGCAGATTAGGCAGAGCCTTAAGGAGCAAGGGTATTCCCTTAGCCATGATTCTTTACAAGTGGAGAAAGATTTAAGGTGCTACGGGGTTGCATCCAGCCACCTGAAGACTCTTCTGAAGAAGAGCAAAGCAAAAGATCAGAAGCTGGACAACAGCATGCCTGATATAACAAAGAACCTGCCCAAGGAGAGGTTTATAGAATCTCCTCATGCGGTGCAGAGCGGACCTAAAGTGATGAATGAGCCACTGTCATGTGCTGCAAGATTACAAGCTGTTGCAAGCATGGTAGAGAAACGATCTAGTCCTGCTGCTTCACCGAAGCCCAGCGTAGCATGCAGCCAGCTGGCTTTGCTCCTTTCCAGTGAAGCTCACTTGCAGCAGTACTCCAGGGAACATGCTTTAAAAGCACAAAATGCAAATCAAATAGCAAGCGAGAGACTTGCCGCTATGGCCAGATTACAAGAAAGTGCTCAGAAAGATACTGGCCAATTTGGTTTAGCAAAAGGAGTGACAAGCCATCTCAATGGTCAGACAGGATCATCAACCAAAACTGTATCTAGCAAAAGCAATATGGCACCATTTCAGAGTTCAGTGGGAGTCATGCATTCGCCTCCCAAAAATGTGGGATACAAAAATACTTTGGAAAGGAGTAACCTGAAGACCTCTCCCAGCAACAGTTTGCTCTTGCATCTACTGAAAAGCCAGAATACCACCAAACACGTAAAAGGGCATGAACAGAGTGAAAGGGCCAGCATTTTTGAAGACAGCAGCACACCAACAACTATTGATGAATATTCGGATAACAATCCTAGTTTCACAGAAGATGACAGCAGTGACGATGAAAGCTCCCATTCTAACTGTCTTCCTATAGACCTATCCTTTAAACAGAGGACAGATAAACCAGATGCAGGTCCACCTGCATCGCTGGATAACCTGACTCAGTCCTTGCTTCATACCTGGGATCCAAAAGTCTCCTGTCCAGAGAACAAGGAAGACAAAGACACTCCGAAGGCTTCTAAGCTGAATCCCCATCAGAAAGTAACATTACTTCAGCTGTTACTTGGGCATAAGAGTGAAGAGAAGGTAGATAAGAGTAATGACCCTCAGGGACCACACAGTGCAGCCGATGTGGCAAAATTCACCGTACAGACTGGTAAAAGGACTCCTGTTACTGACAGTCCCAGTGGAAACAGAAGGACTCCGTTAAGCACTCCCCCTTTGCTGGCTTCTGCAAAAGCAGACTCTCCTATAAATCTCTCGCACCAGTCGTTAGCCATCAAGCGTAGCCCACCACCGTATGTCTGCAGCATCCAGCCGGACAGACTGGTGAATCCTGCGTCTAAACATTTGATAGACCTTTCTAAAAGCAAGGAAATTCAAGGAGCCAAGCTGAGCAGGAACGATAGTCCCCAGAATTCCTCAGCTTTCAGTGCCAGCAAGCTGTTGCAGAACCTGGCTCAGTGTGGCATGCAGACCTCCATGTCAGGTGAAGAGCAAAGAGCCAGCAAACAGCTGCTGGCAGGGAGCGCAGACAAACCTGTTGGCTTGATTGATAGATTGAACAGCCCTCTGCTCACGAATAAATTGAGCACGCATGAAGAAAATAACAAAATATTCAGCTGTCAGCCTGCACCCACTGAACAAGGACTTCCAGGTTCAGAAATAGAAAATCTCCTTGAAAGGCGCACTGTCCTTCAGCTGCTTCTGGGAACTCCCAATAAAGGTAAAAGTGAAAAGAAAGAGAGGATGCTTTTAAGAGATGAAAGTTCTCAAGAACAGACAGATAAGGCTTTGAATGAGCAAATATTGACGGTGAAAATAAAAACCGAACCGTCTGAAGAGTCGAATGCTCCTTATAATTCAAATGCACAAGTAAGAGAGTGCAAGGGTAACAGATACCAAGGATTTGTTCATTCTCTGCAGAGAAACATGGCTGCTTCTCCAGCAACTGAGGAGTTAAAATCTGAGCCTCTTTCTCCTCAAGACTTCTCTTTTTCCAAAAATGGCCTGCTAAGTAGGTTGCTGAGACAGAGTCAAGACAGTTACCCTGCAGACGAGCTGGACAGAAGTCACCGAAACAACGAGCTGGCACACCTTGAATCAAAGAGCCTTTGCACAGTGCCGAAGAAGAGGAAGCTTCATGCTGAGCCTTTGGAAAGTCCATTAAAAAAGATGAAAAGTAATGTGTCTGATGCTGCAAACAATCACGCTTCTCCTACCGAGGCACTGTATGGGCCTTTGCTTAACCAGCAAGAACTGAAATTCAGCAGAAGTGATGCTGAATTTAAATATGCTGTAAGCCACGGTTCAAATCATGAAAGTGAAAATAGGAGTTGGTCTAGAGATAGTAAAGGCTTTAATGTGTTGAAACAGCTGCTTCTCTCAGAAAACTGCGAGAGAGATCTGTCACAGCATAGGAATAACATACTAGCGGAGGGCAAGAAAAAAGGAAACAAAACCAGTACAACAACTAATAAACCTGAATTCAGCATTTCTTCAGTAAATGCATTAATGGGTAGCCCTGTGCAACAGAACAACTGTGTAGATCACAGAACATTTCAGTATCCTGTAGCAGTAAAAACTCCTGCCGGTTCCCCCTTCCCTGAACATTTGGGGAGTACGGTATCTAGGCTCGAGCCCGACCAGTTTAGCATGTGTCCCATGCCCAGTGAAAAAGGGCCCATCAGGTGGGTGATCACAGGTATGGACAAGAATGATTACGAAAAAGACTCTCCGAGACTGACCAAAACCAATCCAATATTGTACTACATGTTACAGAAAGGCGGCAACTCCGTTAGTAGCCAAGAAGCACATGACAAAGAAATTTGGAATGAACCTGCATTTACTGATAGTTCAGCTCGCGTTACAATCAAAGAGGAGTTGACGTCTGGTGCTGAGCTTAAAACTCCTTTTAGTAACCTAAGAAGCCCTTACAACAGCCATATGGGAAGTAAGACCTCTCATCAACATGGTGTGAATGGAGAAGTGCATGGACTTCTGGAAAAAGTGCTAACAATCAAAAAAGAGCCAGAATAAACTACAGCCTCCTCAATGAGTTTACAATCAGTGGTTTTGAATCTTTGTTTAAAAAAAAAAAAAAAGGAGAAAAAGAAAAAATAAAAATGAGTACGAACTTGACTACTGTATAAATTGAGCATGATTTTAGAAAAGCATGGTCTAACTGAAACGTTTTCATTTGATAAACTTTTTATTTTTCTGGTGATGTTATTTAAAATACATGTAGATAAATTTTGCTTTACAGTAGATTGTCACGAGGAAACTAGAAGGGTTGTAATTTGTACAAGACATTTCTGTATGTATCAGATTAAGTTATGAGTACTCTTTGATCAGAGTCTTACTTGGATCTGCAAGTTTTTGGTATAACATGAAGTGTAAGCGTACAGCCTAGGTGGTGGTAATGCTGCGTTTCCTCCCTCCTTGTAAAATAATCCTTATTTTTGGAAGCCTGAGCATAGAGACAGTGTACTTTTTTTTTTTGAATGTTTAATATGTTTTGTGAAATTTTAAGAATAACTTTTAAGAAATGGAGCAGTCCGTCCAAGGCATTAGCTCGTCATATTGGAAAACCTGTGTCAGTGTTAATTGAAATGCACTGAAATGTATTTTTTAGTGCTTCCAAAATTTTTACTGTTATTTTTAAATCTTGTTTGTGGTCCTGCCAGAACAGTGGTGTAAAATCTATTTTTCTTCCTTGCCCTGCTCTTGATAAATGCCTTCCTCACAATCCTTACCCGTAGTTACGAGTTACTAGTTACGATCAAGGGATTTTTCCTAGATTTTTATACAAAAGGCAGATTTGCTTAGGCCACACAAGTACCGCATGAGTCCTTTTGTCAGTGCGTTCCTGTCACTTGCCTGCTTAAACGGGGAAAGCCAAAATGCCTCTTGGTGTAATGCAATTAAAGTTTAGTACGTACATTTGGTGAGGACACTGATGGAAAATTTGTGCAGCGGATGAGCAGAATTGTCTGTTCAGCTGCAGCCTGCTTCCCCTGCAGAAGAATACCAGCAGTGCTAAAGCAGCCCATCAGACTTCCTCTCAAAGATGGAATAGGATTTTAATGAAAAATGTGTTGGCCTCTTCCTCCAACCAGGGAAAAGAATCCATATTCTGCCAATATTTATTACTCTCTGAACAGTTGATGCATGGCTTAATGCACTACCCTTTCACTGCGGAAAACCTGGTTTCAGAATAATTTTTCAGGTTGCACTGAGGATAAAATTGTGGTTTTGTCATGTTCGGTAACAGATAGCGGGACATGTCTGAAATCCTCCTCTGCCCTTTTCCTCAATCCCCACCTGTGCTGTGATTTGTAACATCTGGCAATATCAGCCTGAGATGGGAGTCACTGAAAATTGCCGTCAAAGCTGCGACATCTTAAAGAATTGCTGGCTGGGGAAGAGCTGTGCTGCTCTGCGTTCCTCTTAACAGTGTCATTGTTAACTCCATTTGTAGCCCTTATTTCTCAGAGCGGGAGGAGGAGGACAAAATCCAGTTCCTCTAAATTACAGGCATTATTGGCAGCCATAAGTTTCGCTGAACTTCTTACTCCCATGGAAAAAAATGTTCCCTGTAGCTTCTAATTCCACTGATAATCCCCTATGCTATCAGCAAGCAGCTAGGTAGTTGGCTTGCACAGATAGTGAAAGCAACACTCTTTTCATTTTGACTGTTTTTGCCATTGAGAGCCGATGACATGACAAAACTGCTGTTTCTGTCCGTCTCATGTTTGCGTAGCAGGGATGAGTGATGTGGTGGTTTGCTCTTTTCCTTTCTGGTTTGGTTTCAGAGATCCTTTTTCCAGATGGAGCGAGCTCTTGTCCCCCTCTCGCCCTCTGATCCTGGGATCAGTTTTCCCTCTTTCCAGCGCAGTCTCTACTGAAAGGAACTTTCTCCTGTCTGCAACTGGAAAATGCACCACTATTCTGTTTTACCCCCCTGGCGGGATACCTTATTTTAGGGAACACAAATATTTGGCAGTATCTGATCTGAAACATTCCCCCTGGTTTATATGAAAAATAACAGAGCGATTTAAAGATATATTTTTATGTTATTTGGGTGAAGCGTAATATATTAAATGGGCTGTACAAAGAAGATTTATATTTTAAAACCTTCACACAAATCTAATATCATTTTAAATGTCATTGTCTGAAGTATAATATAAAAATAAAATTTTGTTTGTCTTTAATATTGCATTTATAAGTGGCCCAATGACAATTCAGATGTCTCGTAGAATAATCATTAACAAGATAAAGTATATTTTGGATTGACAGTGGAACTGAATTCTTTTTATATGAGTCAACCCAGCAGAAATATTAAAAAGATGGTATTTGTTCCATCCATTAAATGTCTTTTAAAGTCTTAATTGATTATTTTTCTTGAAACAACATGTATATAGCTAGGAAATATATACAGTATAGAATAATAGATGGTCCCCGGAGTAAATACAGGGCTATAATTTACTTGAAGGGCTCCACAGAAAAATGCAGTTGAAAGGATATGAAATAACCTGGTTGGAAAAACTTCAAAACAACATTGAAATAAAGAGTAGGGAGGAGAGTCTAACCCTAACAAAAAGTAATACTGGAGTCTAGGAGCGTGCTTACCTATGTATTTATTCTGTGGTAGTCTATTGTTATAATATATACTTTTGAACATTTAGTTTTTAAAGTTTTATAAAACATTTTAGTTAATATGTTGACAGTTTGACCTGTTAATGATTTAGCTTTCTTTTTAGGTGATGTTAATGAAAGGGTATTACCATTCTCACAGACGTCAGTAAACTATAATACACAAGAATTTAAGTTTAGGGCATGCTGTTCGTGGATGAATCTTACCTCTTGTAGGCATTGCAATCTCAAGCAGCACATAACACAACGATGAGGCCCTTGAGAGAGGGATGGGCATGTCAGCTGAATGCTTTTCAGGCAGCTGCTAAGAGAGCAGCAGTCTTCTGTGTGAAATTCTCCCAGTATCACTGATGTTACCCCTCCCTAGGGAAGAGAGATCTTAAAAATATACCCGTTTCACATTTACAGCCTTCAAACCTGAGGATCTAAGGCTTTTTCATCATCTGTGTTGTAGCATGGGTGAATAAAAAGCAGTTGCCGTTGTTCTCCCTGGGGCCTCTTCCCTGTCAGTTGTTCCATCAGAGAAGGGTCTGCTGCACCAGCAGAAGGACTGGTAGGGCTGGCTAATCTTCCCAAAGATCCTTGATTTCCACCAGTCCCTGTAGATGAATGACAAACCAGGATCGGCTGTTGAGTAACGCTTGGTGTTTCCAACAACTCCTGCCTCCTTTGTTCAGTAGATGTTTAGTACTAGGATTTCGGCTGTCCCCAGTCTGCTTCCTCAGTCTGTGGGAGTGGAAGCTTCAAAGATATCGCTGCAAACTCAGGAGGCTGAAGTTTCAGCTAAGCCTTTAGACTGTAGACATGAAGAAAAATGGGGCCTGGTCAGATATTGGCAGCAGTAGCTCTGTAGGCAAAGGTTTGATGGGTGCTGTTGTGTGATCTCGCCATCAAAGGAAGCAGAGAGAGAGGGGAGAACACCTCCCACTTGTAGCTGGGGGAGACTGCCTGGGGAAAGCTGCCTCCACCCTGTGGAGCCGTGCAGATGTAAGGGATGTGTCTATACCGCGCTTAGAGTTGTAATTGTAGCCCCTTGGGGGACTTATGCTTGAATTAACTTTAACCTCACTTAGAGCAGTTGCAGCAGCAGCAGTTGGGTTCCTGCGTGCCCAATGCTGTGCTCGAGGGGGCATCTACAGGCTCACGCCGCTTCACCCGCTGTGGTGGCGTAGTGCTCAAGGTAGCTAGATTTGGGGATTCACTTGTAGTTGCCATGCAGATATGCCTTTTTTTTCTGGAGGAAATTATACGGGACTGGGATAATCAGATTTCTAGTGTCTTCTCTGCCAAAGTTTGAGGAAGTGAAGGAGGGTAACGCATGACCGCAGAATCAAAGGTGTTTTGCTGGAGGGCTTCTCTGCTGATAACCATGTGGCTCAGTTTGAGAAGTCGATAAACATTATGAGATCAAAAGGGAATTCAGCCATAACTTTCACTTTTCTTAGCCATTTACTCTTAGTAATTTTTTAAATTTTTAATTTACAGATCTTTGTAAAAGAAATGATTGGTTTAAATTTTCCCTGTTAAATGTTGGTGAAAGTATTACAGCTCTCATTGACGTCAGTGACATAATTTTACCAGTTTGTTCTCTGCCACATCTTACAGAGGAGTAAACTGGTAAGTATATATTATATATATTTATATATAATGTAAATATATTGACTTGTTACACCTATAATATGTTGAAATCGGTTTTTAAAAGGTGATGTAAATAGTGGTTTCCTTAATGAAAAATACATATTTTGTATTGTTCTAATGCAAAGGAAAAAAAAAACCCCTTTTAATCTTTTTTGTTATGTATATTCCATGTATAAGTGTAAATATGATCACATAGGTTTAAAAACTTTTGCATGTATGTATACAGTTGCAAGTCTGGAAGAATGTATAGAAAAATACTTTTATTTAAAGTTGTGATTACCTGCTGCATGAAAAGTGCATGGGGGACCCTGTGCATCTGTGCGTTGGCAAAAAAAAATGTCTTAACAAGTCAGGTCAGTTCAAAACACAACAGTATTCCACTTCTGGACATAACTTCTGCTGTGGTATTTTAGCTTTGTGAAAGAATGTGCTTCAAATCAAAGGGTCTGGGAAAAAAAAAAAAGCAAAACTACTTTTAAAACATGAAGTACTCATGCAACTATAATCAGTCATGTAAGTTCAGGACTCCATTTTGCATAACTGAAATATTGTACCAGGACTATTCCATCCCTGTAAGACAAAAGAATATTGATTTTCATTGCCATACATAAGAATTTGGGATTTTACACAACGAATTTTATTGTGATGTGTCTTCAGTAATTTATCTAACTGGTCTCATTTTTTTTTATTAGAACTTAATTTCCTCATGTGATGTCACAAAACTGTACATACTGCAGTGTGAAGTT